AGGAATTTTATTTTTTGGTTTCTCTCATACATGTTTGTTATGTTCTTGTATTTGTTTAATCAGTAGAAATAAATTAGGTATGCTACAAAACCTCCACAGCCTTGCTTCCGTTACTCTGATGCATTTGAGGCGCTCACATGAGCAAATGTGAGTCCACAGCACCAGGACCTGCTCCTCGGGAATGCGGTGTTGCTGTTCCTGTGATCGGAAGGTCAGAGAAGGTGCTCCCGTCACCCAGTCCATGCAGGCGCTGAAGACGTGGGCTGAACATGGGTGTACGGAAAGACGGACCTGAGCTTGCCCTAGCTGTGTCTCTCCTCTTAAGAGGAGGCACCTCCGGTTCTGGTGATGTGTCCACTTCCCCTGGCTCCTGTGAGCTGCTGGCTGCCCCTTCAATGTCCTCTGAGGTCCAAACAGTACCTCCTAAGTCGCCAACCTCCCCTTCCTCTTCTTCGGCTTGCTTCTGTGAGTACCAATTGCAGCTATACCTCTCACTGGGACCCCCTTTCCCTTCCTTGATGTCCTGCTAGTTCATGACACTAATGAACCCTACTGATCTTTAGGCAACTAGTGCCTCTCTGAGGTCAGTGTGACTGCTTTTGCAAATAATGTGCAATTGAGGTATGATTGTACACCCACAGGTATTTTTTCAAAGGGCCAGTCAAACAACGTCCTCTAGTCCAACTGTTGTCAGGCAAACATTTTCTTCTGCTTTTTCAAATCAAATCAAATACATTTATTGGCATCATAGTATAAAAGAAATCTGGGAGAGAGAAGAGATCCCAGCAGACTTTAGGATGCCAAAATTATCAAGCTCTTTAAAGGACATAATTCAAAGCCGGCGTTAACTCTTCTATTACTCAATTAAAACAGTTGCTGAGGCTAAAGGTCCCTGCCTCCCCACAGTCATCTATAGGATGTCTCTTCTTCTCCAGGGCTTTCCCCAAGCAATCAGAGACTGAGTCTGCCTGCAGCCTGCCTCTGCTATGCCCTCTTTATGCCTCTCCTGGTTCTGGGAGACAGGTGGGGAGGGGAGCTTTTTGCAGTGGGAGGGCGAGGCACCCATGACTCTTCACTAGCCTGACTCATCTCTGCCTCTTGAACTCCCTCCTCCCACACACCAGCTTCAGCTTCTGCCTCTGATTTTGGACCTCTCTGTTACCAGCTTCCGACTTTCTCTCTCTTCTCCCTCTGACCACTCATGGTCGTGTCACCACCACTCCCCAGGCTAAGCCACTTCTGGTGAACCAGAGCAGTGCATGGAATGTCGTTTACCTTCCCGCCGGAGCAGTACCTATTTATCTACTTGCACTTTGATGTGCTTTCAAACTGCTAGGTTGGCAGGAGCAGGGACCAAGCAACGGGAGCTCACCCCGTCACGGGGATTCGAACCGCTGACCTTCTGATCGGCAAGTCCTAGGCTCTGTGGTTTAACCCACAGTGCCACCCGCATCCCTTGTGCCACCCGCATCCCTTGTTATTTGGCAAATCTCCAGTGTCACTCTTAAGTAACTCTTAGCCTTCTCCCTTCGTGTAACTACTTGTTGGAACTGGTTCCGTGGGGTGGAAGCGATGCCCCTCACCCGTTCTGCTACAGCCAGCACAAACAGTAGGACTTATCTGCCCTGTTCCTCCCCAGCCAGGGCTAAGACCGCTCGGCCCAGTCGTTCGGTCTTCTGCCTTCCCACCAAAGGACATATCACCAGCACCCATATAGCAAAATGTATACATTTCATCTCCCTAAGCTGGTTTGTCCCATGGAAGGATATGGTGGATTTGCAAGGGCAAGAATGGCGTGGGGACTGCCTGTTGCAAAGATCCCCGAGACAAAAACACCTTGCAGCATTTGAGGAACTTCAATAATAGTTGCAAGGTAGATATAAGAAATTAGATATATCAAGAAAAAGTTTAATTATGATAAAAGTGTGTATGGCAATAAGTAATATGAAATCGAAATATGGAATAGACGGGAGGTTGGGTCTTTAGTGTTAAGACCAATTTATGTTTTATTGTTCGTTAAGAAAATTATGTGTCTATGGTTATTCTTGTGTGTAATTTGGTATTTGTGTTTTTTCTTGCTGTATCAAAAAAATAAAGAAAAAAGAAAAAAAGGAGGATAGAGTTGGGCATGTTTAGCCTGGAAAAGAGGAGACTGAGAGGAGATAGGATAGTCATCAAATATCTCCAGGGCTGTCACATGGAAGAGGGAACATGCTTATCATCTCCTGCTCTGGAGGGTAGGACTCGAACCCATGGCTTCTCAAGGAGATTCCAACGAAACATCAGGAAGAACTTTCTGACAGTAAGAGCTGTTCAACAGTGAAACGGACTCCCTTGGGAGGTTGTGGACTTGCTTTCCTTGGAGGTTTTTAAGCAGAGGCTGGATGGCCATCTGTCACGGATGCTTTAGCTGAGATTCCTGCATTGCAGGGGGTTAGACTAGATGACCCCGGGGGGTCCCTTCCAACTCTTAAGATTCTATGATGTCCTCCAACCACTAGCCATTCTTTTGCACCAGGTTCCGCTTGGCGGACCTGGGGGCTCAAGTGTGAAACAAAGCAGATCCAGCAAGCTTGAAGTCTGCTCAATTCTGACGTTTTGTTTATTTGACTGCTTCCCTACCCTTCACCACAAGTCCCTAGGGCAAGATACAACAATATAAATGTACAAAATTATATTAAAAAAACAAGCAAAACTTTTCATACAATTATAAAAAAAGTAAAGCAATAGAGCAGTTCTAAGCAGAAGCAAAGCTGCATAGATTAAACATAACTGAAAAGGGAGAAGGTCCCAACAAACATACTTTTAACTCTCCAGACGCAACCGTGAAGAAGGAATTCCACAATTTAGGGCAAACTTGGGTCCCCCAGACGTTGGACTACACTACCACTATTTACGGGACTGCCTCTCCTGGTATGCCCCGCAGAGGAGCTTAAGGTCCATGAATAACCATAGTTTAGAGGTCCCGGGCCCTAAGGAAGTCAGATTATCCTCCACCAGGGCCTTCTCAGTGATGGCTCCGACCTGGTGGAATGCTCTGTCCCATGAGACCAGGGCCCTGCAGGATTTAACTTCCTTCTGCAGGGCCTGCAAGACAGAGCTATTCTACCTGGCTTTCAATTTGCACTTAGCCTGATCTTTTATTCCCCTTCCTTCCCTCCCCCTCCCCTTTTTATGAAGATTACCCGCTCTGGGATCCCACAGCTAATTCTCCCCTGGTCTCCTCGCTGGCCCAAATAGGACTAACTTAGCCAGCTAGCCCTGATGATCATCTAATGTTTATTGGATGGATTTCCCCCCTAAATTGATTTTTGAATTCTGAATTTATTGTTATTCACGTTTTATACTGTATTTGATGCTGTTTTTTGTTGCACCAATTAAGTGTTTTAAATTTGTTGTTCGCTGCCCTGAGCCCGGTTTTCTGAACCGGGAAAGGCGGGGTATAAATAAAAATTTATTTTTTCATTTATCCCTGAAAACAGGTCCTGTAGTCCAACAACACCTGGTAGGAAGGTTGCTGTAGGGGCTACCCCAGAGAAAACTCTCCTCTGAGCCTTCTCCATAACTAAAGTCTTCAAACTGAGCTATTTCTTAACATGGCCGTTGCATTGATGACACTTTACGTCCCTTCCAACTCTTCAATTCTATGACTCTATGAACCAGTCGTCCACTGCAAGCCAGCGCTACTCTAAAATAGCAAGGCTTCTTTTGCCAACTGCTCAGGTGGAATGGATCCTGCTTGCACCTGAGCAACAAGCGGGGTCTGCCGAGTGGCACATCTGCACTTACTGTTTCCAGATGTGAATATTTACAGTTACTTATTTAAGGCGGAGGTGGGAGACATTTTTCCAGCCCAAGAGCCACATTTCCTTCTGGGCAAACTTTCAGAGGTGAGAGACCAGTGATGGAAGAAGAAGAAGAAGAGTTTGGATTTGATATCCCGCTTTATCACTACCCGAAGGAGTCTCAAAACGGCTAACAATCTTCTTTCCCTTCCTCCCCCACAACAAACACTCTGTGAGGTGAGTGGGGCTGAGAGACTTCAGAGAAGTGTGACTGGCCCAAGGTTACCCAGCAGCTGCATGTGGAGGAGCGGAGACGCGAACCCGGTTCACCAGATTACGAGTCTACTGTTCTTAACCACTACACCACACTGGCCCTGTGGCCAGAGGTGAAAGTGGGAAGATCAGGAAACGAACATTTTAGCTTTTGTACAGTAGGCTAGTTTCTGCACAAGCCCTGCTCTGCCTTCCATCCAAGCCAAAGACACACCCAAGTGTGGCAAAAACACTCAAGGAAGAGTGTGAAACAGGAGCATGCGCTGTGGGAGTTTCCCACAGATCGGACAGAGTGCTTTCAGCTCTTGTACCAGAGGTTCCCACTCCTAATTTAAGGGATCTTGGGACAGGCTACATCAAATATAAAATCAAACTAATAACAAAATAATAATAATAAAAAACATTAAAACCGTATAAAACCAATCTCCATAACCTCCTTCCTACAAAAATAAAGAGCCTGGAGCTCATCGCCTGAAACTTCTACCTTCTCAGAAAAGAAATGTCACAATGTCATGAAGTTATCAGATTAAAATGGCACAGGACAGTATAGGAACCATCTTTGCAACTGCAGATGTCCAGCGGGATCTTTCTCCATGGTAGAGGGGTGGTCACTTGGAAGAATTAGGAAAGTTTATTCTGCCCAGGTGGCCAGAGGAGCCTTTAATCAGAAGATGTCATGGATGATGTTGGCTCCTGTAGATGCTTGCTCACCATAGTCATCCTCTCATTAGCAATGTTGGGGAGCCAGCATACAATCTGTCGGATCGTGAATATTTATACGGTTTCTCTGTATTTCATCTCAAGGATCGCAGATTTGATTAGACAGATAAGCGCTTAAGTCATTTAGATTCCATATCCGATGTATGGATCCTCTATTTTGAAGGCCTGTTCCGTAACTGAAATTCTTTCCACATTACAGGCATCGGCAGAATTGACAGCAACCACCCCTTTATGAATTCTTTCGTGTACGTTAAGGTTTGACCTCTGGCTGCAGCTTTTTCCGCACACCGAGCACGTATATGGTTTCTCCCCCGTGTGGATTCTTCGGTGTACATTCAGGCTCGAGCTCTGGCTGAATCGCTTTCCACATTCCGAACATTTATACGGTTTCTCTCCCGTGTGGGTTCTTTGATGGCTTGTAAGGTGTAGTCTCCGGATGAAAGTCTTCCCACACTCTGAACATATATATGGCCTCACCCCTGTGTGGATTTTCTGATGTTCGGTAAGGCTAGAGTTGTGACTGAAACTCTTCCCACACTCCGAGCACGTGTACGGCTTCTCTCCAGTGTGCACACTTTGATGACGTATGCAGCTTATGTGGTTACGGAAGCTCCTTCCACATTCGGAGCACTTATATGGCTTCATCCCCATGTGGATCTTCTGATGCGAAGTAAAAGAGGTCCTCCAGCTGAAGCTCTTCCCGCACTCCAAACACTCATACGGCTTCTCCCCTGTATGGATTCTCTGATGTAACTTAAGGTTCATGCTGTGGTTGAAGCTCTTTCCACACTCGGAGCATTTGTAGGGTTTCTCGCCTGTGTGGATGGTGAGGAGATGCCGTGTGAGGCTTTTGCAGTGAGTGAAGCACTTTCCACACTCGGAGCATTTGTGTGGCTTCTCCCCTGTGTGGATTATCTGATGTGAGCTAAGGTGTATCCGCTGCCTGAAGCTCTTTCCGCACTCCAAACATTTGTACGTTTTTTCCTCGGTGTGGATTCTCTGATGTGACCGAAGGTGTGCACTGCTAACAAAACTCTTCCCACACTTTGAGCAGTCATATGGTCTATCCCCTGTATGGAGTTTCTGATGTGAATTAAGATACGCCCTGAGGCGGAAGCTCTTCCCACACTCGGAGCAGTTATATGGTTTCACCCCAGTGTGGATCGTCAAGTGCCGTGTAAAACTCGTGCTGTGCTGGAAGCTCTGCCCACAGTCCCAGCACTGATATGGCTTCTCTGCTATGTGGACTGTTAGATGTTCACTAACATGTGCACTACAGCTGAAGCTCTTCTCACAGACCGGGCATTTATACGCTTTCTCCTCGATGTGGATTCTCATGTGAGTATTAAGGCTTGATTCGCAACTAAAGCTTTCCTCGCACACACTGCACTGAATACTTTTCTTCTCCTGGTCTTCGGCTGGGATTTCACACAAGTCGCTACACTGAGAAGCAAAGGAGTTGTCCTTCTCTTCTGGTTCTATTTCCCTTCTCTGAGCTTTCCCGTCTATACACCCAGCTCCTTCCAAGGATGTGCTATGTGGTTCAGTCTCACTCTCCCATTCAGCACCTGCTGTAACAAAGAGAGGAAAGTAGACATAAAGAGTTGCCAATAATAATAATAATAATAATAATAATAATAATAATAATAATTGTGCCCTGCCCTCCTGACTAGGTTGCCCCAGCTACTTGGAGCGGCTTCCAACATATATAGAAACAAAACAAAACATTGGACGGCCTCGGTCCAGTATTATCTAAAGGAGCGTCTCCACCCCCATCGTTCTACCCGGACACTGAGGTCCAGCGCCGAGGGCCTTCTGGCGGTTCCCTCACTGCGAGAAGCCAAGTTACAGGGAACCAGGCAGAGGGCCTTCTCGGTGGTGGCACCCGCCCTGTGGAACGCCCTCCCACCAGATGTCAAAGAGAACAACTACGACACTTTTAGAAGACATCTGAAGGCAGCCCTGTTTAGGGAAGCTTTTAATGTTTGATGCATTGCTGTATTTTAATATTTTGTTGGAAGCCACCCAGAGTGGCTGGGCGGGATATAAAGAATAAATTATTATTATTATTATTATTATTATTATTATTATTATTATTATTACTACACATTGAAAAGCTTCCCTAAACAGGGCTGCCTTCAGATGTCTTCTAAAGGTTATATCATCTCTTTCACATCTGATGAGTTACTCATCTCTTTGACATCTGATGGAAGGGCATTCCACAGGGCCACTACTGAGAAGGCCCTCTGCCTGGTTCCCTGTACCTGGTTCCTTCCCTGAAGGAACAAGATGGTCCAGATACATTTCAGTCTGGTTTCAGGCCCAGTGTTGGCTCCGACACAGCCTTGGTTGCCTGAGGAAGAACCTTTCTTGGGACTAAAAGAGGGCTTGAACCCTGTTGGCTTTCCTTGACCCACCAATGACTTTTGAAACCATTGACTGTGGTGTTCTTCTGGAATGGCTCAAGAGGGTGCCAGATGGAGGTCCTGTTTCATAATGGTTTCACTCCTACCTGCAGGGTTGCTACCAGGAAATAGCACTAGGAGACTGTTGCTATGCTCCATGGTTTGGGGGCTGCAGGGTCCCACAATGACTCATTCTGTCTCCTATGCTGTTTAACACCTATATAAAACTGTTGGGAGTGGTCATCCAGCAATTTGGAGCATGATGCCGCTACACAGCTCAATCTTCCAATTCCTTTGGAATTGGGAGAGTCTGTGAAGATGTGGACAGGTATCTGTGTGGGAAGAATTTACTTCTCAACCACTTGGTTCATCTCCCAGGCAAGGGGAAACAACTGAAACAAAACATGAAGCCAAGGAATAAAAGCGAGTCCAGTATCCAGTTAGGGACCCAAGAAACTTTGGGTGGCTTCCAACAAAATATTAAAATACAGTAATGCATCCAACATTAAAAGCTTCCCTCAAGAGGGCTGCCTTCAGATGTCTTCTAAAAGTCTGGTAGTTGTTCTCTTTGACCTCTGGTGGGAGGGCGTTCCACAGGGCGGGCGCCACTACCGAGAAGGCCCTCTGCCTGGTTCCCTGTAATTTGGCTTCTTGCAGTGAGGGAACCACCAGAAGGCCCTTGGCGCTGGATCTCAGTGTCCGGGCTGAATGATGGGGGTGGAGATGCTCCTTCAGGTATACAGGACTGAGGCCATTTAGGGCTTTCAAGGTCAGCACCAACACTTCGAATTGTGCTCGGAATTGTGCTGGAGGTTTGCAGAACCTCCAGTTAAGCCAAAATCTTCTCTGAGCAGAATTCGAAGGCATGTTACATAGGCGCACAAAGAGCCATAAAACATCAAAACATTCAACATTCTCAAGACTTAGAAAGGTACGTCTGGAGGAATCTCTGACTCCCTCAGAGGGAACCCCAGAAAAGAAGAGGATATCATTCAATAAAGGGACCTCAATCAAAATTTCAACCTTCAGCATCCGCCACACAAGGCAGAGAGGGATCCTTACCGACAGACTCCAGGTTCCCCCAGTTCTCCTCCATGACTTCCCCGTGCAAAGCTCTCTGAGCCGGATGCAGCAGATCCCACTCCTCCTCTGTGAAGTAGACACCCACCTCGTCAAAGCTCATCAGAGCCTAGAATAAAGAAGAGAAGGCAGCTTGTCCGTCTAGGTAATCCAAAAAGGAGGACCCAACCAGAAAGAGAAGGCAACATGTCTGGCGGTTCTCTTGCAAGAGTGAAGAGCATTCAAAGCCCACCTAGCTAACAATATTGGTTAGAACAGTGGCCAAACAGATGCCCAATATAAAAAGCAGAGGAGGAGGACCCGAGAGCAACAGGAGCAGCAACATTCTTCCCTCCCGCCAATTGGAATTATTCAGAGGCATCCGAATTGCTCGGACCATGAAGGCAGAGCAAAGATATTGTGGCTGGAGGCCAAGGAAAGCCTTCTCTCTCCATGAGTTTGTCTAATCCCCTTTTAAAGTTGGCAGCCATCACGGCAACTCGTTGGAGTGAATCCCGTAACTCAGGCATAGGCAAACTCGGCCCTCCAGATGTTTTGGGACTACAACTCCCATCATCCCTAACTAACAGGACCAGTGGTCAGGGATGATGGGAACTGTAGTCCCAAAACATCTGGAGGGCTAAGTTTGCCTACGCCTGCTGTAACTATACGCTGTGTGGCTAAGCACTTTCTTTCGCCACTTTGGGAATTCCCAGCATTGAGCTTTTATTACCTTATTCAACTGGACAGCAGCTCCTTCCCTTCCACCAACCGCGGGAGAAATTGCCAGGGTTGTGCCACTTCCTGGGGGGGAGAAAAGGAGACGTGGAGATGCTTAATCCTGTTATCTTCTTGCCAATTAATTGTTATTGAATTTCACGTTTAAAAAAACAAATTCCACAGGGCGGGTGCCACTACCGAGAAGGCCCTCTGCCTGGTTCCCGGTAACTTGGCTTCTTGCAGTGAGGGAACCGCCAGAAGGCCCTCAGAGCTGGACCTCAGTGTCCAGGTAGAATGATGGGGGTGGAGACACTCCTTCAGATATACTGGACTGAGGCCGTTTAGGGCTTTAAAGGTCAGCACCAACACTTTGAACTGTGCTCGAAAACAACTCTCAATTATTATTGAGAGGGGGATAAAATTTTTTCTATATCCACTTAATGCTGTGCATAATTCCATAAACTTCTGTTGCATCACCTCTCACTCGCTTTTCCTGTAAACGCTGCAACCTTTCCTCCCAGGGGACTTGATCCATCCCCTTGATCTATGTCGTGGGGCTAAAATGGGGAGAATCATCTACACCACCTCAAGCTCCTTGGGCGAAAGGTGAGATAGAAATGCGATAATCAATAATCAGTATGTCAGGCGTGGAGAGTGCTCCCCTCCCTTCAGCAACTTCACAGACAAGAATTAACAAGCAGTTTATATTTTATGGTCTTTTTTATTCAGTCATCTGGTTGCAAGCAAAAATCCACATCCCTCCACAAGGAGAGCAGTTGGCTACTCTAAATCCTCTCCCTTCTGTCCCCAGAAACATCCTCATCTCTGCTTCCTTTGTTCTCTAATACAGACGGAACATCCTCGTTCTTGGGGAGGGAGGGTCCCCCACATTCTCTAATGACGTCTCTGCTGGCTGCTCCCTCCCTTTTGTTTCTCTTGCCATTATCTCGTAACTAGGCAACTCCTGCCTAAGCTGTTCAGTGTCTCTCTCTGCTCCTGAAACCACTAGAAACAGGAGGAGCAAATCTTCCCCCTCCTCCTCCTCCTCTTCAAAGAGGACCTGATCTGCCTGAGAATGCATACCCTAATCCTCTGATTCAGACCATTCCCTGACACAGTAGAATGAAAGCAACCGAGGCGGAAGAGAAGGCCAAGTTGAGCTGGGCCCCGTCATGGTCCTTACCCAGCAAGGTGGCACCTCCACTGCCCTCCTGCACGATCCACCTGTAAGGCGGCCTCAGTGTTGTGGCCGAAGGGGCTGCCTCTGCCTCTGCCAAGTTGGTAGCTGGGTCTGCAACCATTTCTTCCACCTGAAACGGAATCATAAGGATCCCAGACGAGGGACAGAGAGAGGGATTAAGAAATGGTTTATGTGAAGGCCATCATTGTCTGGTCTGTGAATTAACCCACAGTACTAAGACAGCCTCTCCTCTCATTTTTAAAAATGGTATACCGCCCTATTCCCGCAGGTCTCAGGGCGGTTCACAACATAAAAACACAAAATACATAATAAAAACAAGAAAAACCCAATAATCTCCCCAACACATTTTTTAACGGGCATTGGATGCCAATCAACCAAAGGCCTCATTAAAGAGGAATGTTTTTGCCTGGTGCCTAAAAGTGCATCATGATATATTGGTGATATAGGTGAAACTCGAAAAATTAGAATATCGCGGAAAAGTTCATTTATTTCAGTAATTCAACTTAAAGGTAAAGGTAAAGGTACCCCTGCCCGTACAGGCCAGTCTTGACAGACTCTGGGGTTGTGCGCCCATCTCACTTAAGAGGCCAGGGGCCAGCGCTGTCCGGAGACACTTCCGGGTCACGTGGCCAGCGTGACAAAGCTGCATCTGGTGACCCAGAGCTGCACACGGAAACGCTGTTTACCTTCCCGCTAGTAAGCGGTCCCTATTTATCTACTTGGCAGGCGCTGGGACCAAGCAACGGGAGCGCACCCCGCCGCGGGGATTCGAACCGCCGACCTTTCGATCGGCAAGCCCTAGGCACTGAGGCTTTTACCCACAGCACCACCCGCGTCCCATGTAATTCAACTTACAGCTGATGAAAACCCCAAATTAACAATCTCAGAAAATTAGAATATTAAATGAAATCAGCAAAACAAGGATTGCAAATAGAGCAATATTGGACCTCTGAGAAGTAGAAGCATGCATATGTACTCAGTACTTGGTTTGGGCCCCTTTTGCATCAATTACTACCTCTGAACTAGACTGAGAGACTATTGAAAGGCTCAGGAACCCATTGCAGGTGTTATGGATTGAATAGCTACTGCACCTTTCCACAATATTCTAATCTTCTGAGATTGTTAATTTGGGGTTTTCATCAGCTGTATGCTATAATCATCACAATTATAACAAATAAAGGCTTGACGTATCTCGCTTTGCATGTCATGAGTCTATCTCATATATTAGTTTCACCTTTTAAGTTGAATTACTGAAATAAATGAACTTTTCCACGATATTCTAATTTTTCGAGTTTCACCTGTATATTGCCAGCTAAACACCATGATATAACACGGATGTATCACAATGTCTGAAATAAGGATGGAGCTATGTAGAGACTTCAGCTGGCTTCAACTTTCCCCCACGTCATGCTTTTTGCATAGCACACATACACACACATCGTGAATGTCGTAATGTATTGCCAGGTCAAAAAACCAGTTTTGGGTGATATATCGCTGTATCGCCCATGTTGCGTATTTAGCAGATTAATTGCACTGCGGAAAGCGTGCTGGGGAGACTGCACGTTCAGGAAACAATGAAGAAACGCAAAAATATATTTTGCTTGGGTTTAATAACAAAAACTCCTCTTACATTAAATCTATTAAGTATGACCCATACGTGGGACGCGGGTGGCGCTGTGGGTAAAACCTCAGCGCCTAGGACTTGCCGATCATATGGTCGGCGGTTCGAATCCCCGTGGCGGGGTGCGCTCCCGTCGTTCGGTCCCAGTGCCTGCCAACCTAGCAGTTCGAAAGCACCCCCGGGTGCAAGTAGATAAATAGGGACTGCTTACTGGCGGGAAGGTAAACGGCGTTCCGTGTGCTGCGCTGGCTCGCCAGATGCAGCTTGTCACGCTGGCCACGTGACCCGGAAGTGTCTCCGGACAGCGCTGGCCCCCGGCCTATAGAGTGAGATGAGCGCACAACCCTAGAGTCTGGCAAGACTGGCCCGTACGGGCAGGGGTACCTAATGACCCATTCACCAGGGTACTGAGAGAGGTACACGCTGCTCTTTATATACTATACCCAATTGCTGACACAGCTTATTTCACACAACTTAACAGCACCTGCTATACTGCTTCACAGCTGTAAAACTAGGTCATGATGTTTACTCTGTCCTTTAAAGAGATACACATCTTGTGAAACAATAATGAACCTTAATATTAAGAAACCATTCAACAGCCCAGCCCTATGAAGAGCTGGAAAGGACTCCCTGCCTGAAATCACTGCCTGCCAGTGTCGACAATACTAGGCTAGACACATCAGTGAACTGACCAGATTAAGGCATTCCTGTGTTTTCTTTGTACTACAAGGATGAAAATACTCTCACCTGTTTCTCCTCTTCCTGCTTCTTCCCCTCCGCCTGGCTCAGGAGGAAGCCTTCGGCCAGGGCCACCGCCTGGGAGCTGGTCTCGGCTCTGCACTCCCTGACCCAGTTCTCCATCTCCGGGGGGAGGACAGCCAGGAACTGCTCCAGGATCACCAAGTCCAGCATCTGGGCCTTGGTGAGCCTTTCTGGCTTCAGCCACCGACGGCAGAGACTGTGGAGTCGGCTGCAAACCTCTCGGGGTCCCTTGGCCTCCTGGTAGCCAAACTCTCTGAAGCGCTGACACTCAGCGCCTGAGCTGGTGTTGTCATTGCCCAGAATCTTCTGCATGGTTCTTTCCCAGAATCCTCCACGGTTCCTGATCTTGTGGCCCCTTTGTGTTTCAGGACTTCCCTTTAATCCGTGCTCTGCATCTGGTTCCAAAAAGGCCAAAGGCAAACAGCTGGGATGTGCACAATTGAAAGCCAAGAAGCTGTAAAAGGTGGAGGTGGGATTAGAGAGAGGTAGAGAAGTGGTTCCCAAACCTTTTTGGGCTCCCACCCTCTTGGTTCCAATTACAAAGCCTGAACCTCACCATCCAGCGCCGAGGGCCTTCTGGTGGTTCCCTCACTGTGAAAAGCAAAGCTACAGGGAACCAGGCAGAGGGCCTTCTCGGTAGTGGCACCTGCCCTGTGGAACGCCCTCCCATCAGAACGACTTTTTCTTTCATTTCTTTTTTCTGCAACTGGTTTGTTGGCAATAAAAATAAATGAAAACATATACGAGGGGAACCCCTCTACGTGGTTTTCAGAAATATAAAAATCATGATTTAAATCTCTAGTCAGTAAGACTTGATTTAAATCATATTTTTACATTCTTGCTGGTATAATCTTAATATTAGAAATACATAGACCGATAATTATGAAATTATTGTGATGTTTAATAAGTAAACTGTTTATATTTGGACAACTTTTCTGCTGTACTTTACTCGAAGGAGAAAAAGAGTCATTTCCTTAATAACAATTTAAACAATTTATTCAACTGAAACAATAACATTATAGCATATGTATCCATGTTTGTTAACTGAGGTGGTTAAACAATTTTTTTAAAAAAAAACACAACAACCTTAGACTGAGTTTTAGCACACATGAAAAACTTAAACAAATCCTTATTTCCTGATGAATAGCCTTTGGAATATAATGTAACTTATATTCTATGATTTGAATATGATTTTTTTAAAAAAATCAGATTTTTAAAATTTTAATTGTATTTTTAAAATAAAATGCTTTTGGAGGAAAAATCATTCTAAAGATAGTTAAATAGAAAACTATCTTTTTTTCCTCCAAAAGCATTTTATTTTAAAAATACAATTAAAATTTTAAAAATCTGATTTATTTATTTTTAATTGATTTTTATTCACCCTGAAATAAAGCATTAAAATTATGAACAGAAAATTAAAATAAAGTACAGTCAGTAAGCATTTTTCACATGCTCAGTTGATGTGCGACCGGGATCGTTTTGTACCCAGAAGAGGGCAGAATGGGGACGGAAAAGGGTGGGCTTCGGTGCGCTCTGCTGATGCGCACAGGAGCCAAGAATGTAACACCCCCCCCAAAAAAAATAATTAGGTGCCCGACTGTATTTAGAACATATTCAGAAAATTAAAATCAACAGTAGCTAACAAGAGATCAAACACATGTAACTTCTATGGGTTGGGGGGGGGGGCTTGCCTAAACGAAAAATGTTTTAATCAGGCACTGGAAAGCGTGCAGATGACTGATGTCAACAGTCAGGGAGCTCCAAAGTCTGGGTGTTGCCACACTAAAACAGCAGCTCCACAGCGACCTGGAGAAAGTAAGGATGCCTCAAAGCGTCAGGAGAAAGTGCAGAACGAGTAATATGTGGGCACAGTGCCAGTCCCACAGATTGGAGTGGTCAAGTAGGCACATACAGTGGTGTCCCGCAAGACGAACGCCTCGCAAGACGGAAAACCTGCTAGACGAAAGGGTTTTCCGTTTTGGAGGCGCTTCGCAAAACGAATTTCCCTATGGGCTTCCTTCGCAAGACGAAAGCCCATAGGGAAATCTCCGGGACAGTGGGGAAGCGCAGCGCGTCTTCCCCACTGTCCTCGGACCTCCTCCGAAGCCTGGCGGGGGGGGGGGGGCGGAGAGACCTCCTCCCGCCGCCAGGCTTCGGAAGGCTGCTCCGAAGCCTGGCGGGGGGGTGGAGAGGTTTTTTAAAAACCCCGGGACAGCGGAGGACTTCTCCGCTGTCCGGGGCAATTTTAAAATGCTGGTGGGCGGCAGCGCTGCCGCCCGCCAGCATTTTAAAAAACCTCGGGACAGCAGAGAAGTCCCCCGCTGTCCCGAGGTTTTTTAAAATGCTGGTGTCTTCCCCGCTGTCCCCGGACCTCTTTTGAAGCAAGGGGCGGCGGGGAGAAGATCGCTTCTCCCCGTTGCCAGCCCTGCAATCTCTGGGGACAGAGGGGAAGGCACGCGCACCTTCCCCTCTCTCCCCGGACCCCTTTTGAACCAAGGGGCGGCAACAGGGAGAAGCGATCTTCTCCCCTCTGCCCCTTGCTTCAAAAGAGGGGACAGAGGGGAAGGCGCGCGGCGCTTCCCCTCTGTCCCCGACGGTCTCCTTAGGAACGCATTGATTGATTTTCAATGCATTCCTATGGGAAACCGTGCTTCGCAAGACGAAAAACTCGCAAGAAGAAAAAACTTGCGGAACAAATTAATTTCGTCTTGCGAGGCACCACTGTAAAGGGGGTATGGCGAGCCTGTAAGTCAACTGGTCCCAAGCTGTTAAGGGGAGGGAACGCATGTGTTTTCAAAAGGTGTTTTTCTCCTGAATATTTTGTTATATTCATTCATTTTTTATCTATAAAAGGTATAGGGACCCCCTGAGCGTTAGGTCCAGTCGCGGACGACTCTGGGGTTGTGGCGCTCATCTCGCTTTATTGGCTGAGGGAGCCAGCATACATGTGGCCAGCATGACTAAGCCGCTTCTGGCGAACCAGAGCAGCACACAGAAACGCCGTTTACCTTCCCGCTGGAGCGGTACCTATTTATCTACTTGAACTGGTGTGCTTTCGAACTGCTAGGTTGGAAGGAACTGGGACAGAGCAACGGGAGCTCACCCCGTCATGGGGATTTGAACCACTGACCTTCTGATCGGCAAGTCCTAGGCTCTGTGGTTTAACCCTTTTTTTATTTATAAAAATATTTATATGCCATCCATGTTGTAAAAGAAAAGATCAAAGAGTTTTAGAGCAACGAAACATAAAACCGTACAATAAAAACCATAGAAATAAAAATAAAAAACAGGCATCAATTAACTATGGGTTCTTAACTGCAGGCATTGTGAGATTTCTGATGCAATTCCCGAAGGTTCTTGGTTTCAGAGTTTTGCAACTTGTCTAATAAGGAGTTATCAAACAGAAAGACAAACAGAAAAAGTGGGATGCACACACGGCCACATATTTTGGCATCGCAGGGGGTTGGACTGGATGACCCTCAGAGTCCTGACCCCACTCTACAATTCTACGGTCCTGTGAAATGAATATCCATTCAACATCATCATCATCATCATCATCATCAATTTTTATTTGTTCCCTGCCCTCCCCGGCCGGAGCCGGGCTCAGGGCGGCTAACATCATAAAACTAACACAGTATAGAAAAAACATAAGAACATAAAAACAGGCAATCAATTAATTAAAATGCATCTTAAAATTAGTTCAGAGCAAATTAAAATCTGGACAGATGGCAGTCCACAGGTAAAATTAAGAGTGGTTAATATTCTTCAGGGCCAAATGTTACCACTGGTCTTATAAAGGACCTGTGAGCGGGCCAGGAGGCCTCTTTAATGCTTGTTCTTATACAGAAAGAGAAAGGGCCTGCTTGAATTTAGAACATATTCAGAAAATTAAAATAAACAGTAGCTAACAAGAGCTAAAGCACATGTAACTTCTATGTGTTTGGCCTGGTGGAACAGCTCCGTCTTGCAGGCCCTGCGGAAAGATGTCAAATCCCGCAGGGCCCTGGTCTCTTGTGGGAGAGCGTTCCAACAGGCCGGGGCCACAGCCAAAAAGGCCCTGGCTCTGGTCGAGGTCAGTCTAATGAGTGTTTCCCAACCTTGTGCCTCCAGCTGTTTTTGGCCTACAATTCCCATCATCCCTTGCCACTGGTCTTGCTAGTCAGGGATGATGGGAGTTGTAGGCCAAAAACATCTGGAGGCACAAGGTTGGGAAACAACCTCCCTGGGGCCTGGGATCTTCATATATCACTTTAATGTGAAAACAGGCTTCCAAGCGGTTTGTGAAACACAGACATTTAAGATGCAAGCTTATCCATGAGTAAAATCCAATAGGATTGAAGTATTAAAGTACTGAGACATCCATAAATAAACAGCAGAGCGTTTGTGACCCGCTCCCTTCCACTGTACCCTGAGATAGTTCAGCTGGGAGCATATGAGACTCTCCATTTCAGGGTCGGCCCACGTTGGGCAAACGATTCCTGCGTTTCCGTGGGGTTGGACTAGATGACCGCCAGGGGTCCCTTCCTTCCAACTCTACGATTCTGATCTATGCAGCCCTGCACAAAAATCCCTTGGGAGTCCACTGATGCCGAACCCCCATTTTACTCATTCATTGCATTTAGATCTCATTCCCCCCTTTAGCACACAGGGTACCCCCAAAACTGCATCATGCCGTGGGGTGGGGTGGGGGAGACACGGCCTGGGGAAAAAACCTTTCTCCCCACCTTAGGGCCGGGGTGAGAATCCTGCCTTGCAAATAGGGGAGTTCAGCCCCCACCGGAAAAACAACACCACCCCCCTGCGCGTGCAATGGACCCCAAATGTCCTTGCATCTCTCTTTCTTTCTATCCATCCACCCATCCACTTACCTGCGCGGAGGATGGGAAGAAGGGACCAGCCGCGGAAACCTCCGCGCGGAAAAAGAGGACCTTCGGCCAATGGGGAAAAGGCGCCCCTTTGCCCGCGTCATCAGTTGCTAGGCAGGGCGGGGGTTTCGCGCGGAAAAGGAAGGAGGTTTTTGCAGGAAATGGGAGGGGAGAGCCACGTGTCAGTCTTCCTTGCACCCCGCGGGCTGGTGGGAGTTGTAGTCTCGGTACATCTGGCGGGGGTGGGGGGTTGGGATGGAGGAACGCCAGGCTGGCAAAGCGTCCTGCGTTCAGGAGCTGCGCCTTGGAGACCAATGAAACCCCATTTAAGGCTTGGAGCCTCTGCAAAATGCATAATTTCTCCGCCCCCGCCCCCCGCCACAATTGCATCCTTGCAGGGATCCCTCCTCCGTGGGATCCTCCTTATTAGAGCACAAAGGGGTCAGTGCTCCCCCCGCCCCCGCAAGTCATAGCAATGAATCAAAGGAGCGTGGGGGAAATGAATTAGGATGCGGTGGGGGCAGGCTGTAATGGGAATAATAATAATAATAATAATAATAATAATAATAATAATAATAATAATAATAATAATAATAATTTATTAGTTATACCCCACCCATCTGGCTGGGTTTCCCCAGCCACTCTGGGCGGCTTGCAGCAGAACATTAAAATGCAATAATCTATTAAACATTAATAGCTTCCCTAAACAGAAGGGGTGGATGGTAAAAAAAACCCCAGCCATTTATTGCATTAATATTACCCCCTCTGCTCCAATGAGCTCCAGGTGGCATGCCTAATTCTCTCCCCTGCCCATCCATTGCAGCCTCACAACAACCCTGGGGGGTAGGCTAGGCTGAGGGATCGTTCCCCAAGCTCACCCAGTGAGCTTTCTGGCCAAGGGGGGATTTGAACCCATGTCCCTCCCAGGTCCTAGTACAGTGGTTCTCAAACTTTTCCCCCCTCTGGGCCACACTTTTCAGAATAAAAACTTGCTTGCGCCATACCGAATTTGTTTTTATTGATAATAAACACGTCGGAAAACAACAAAGAAACGACTCCTAGAACATGAAAATCTATCCATATTCTGCAAATAAAATAAAAAAAAACCATTTTGATACTATACTATGGTTACCAGATTTTTTTCAATGAATCCGGGGACCCCCCCCCCTTTTTTTAAGCTGAGTAGCAACAGGGAGTCAGTTGTGGGGATGGTGAGGCAAAAGACCCTGGGCCCAAGCATACATGCATATTGTATAAAGGTGCAAAGCCCTTCTTTCGCACCCTGTGAAACATAAATGCGCAGAGTTTTTTAAAAAACTGGGCAACGGCACGCCACCCGCCCACGACTCCCGAGCCACCCCCAGTCAGTCAAAACAAAGGGGGAAGGGGGCAGGAGATCGCACGAGACACATGATATGCGCACAAGACACATCTTATGGGGACTTCCGGCGAGGAAAAATGGCGGTCACTACGGCAGCGGGCAGCTCCTGAACCCAGCTGGAGCCAACTGCGCTACCAGGCTGGCTCCGGGCTGCTGAGGCTGCCACTGCCACATTTCCCAGGGACAGATTTGCAAATCTGGGGACATTCCGGGAACGGAATTTGTCCGGGGACAGATTTGCAAATCCGGGGACTGTCCCTGGGAACCGGGGACGTCTGGTAACCCTATACTATAGTACACTGGGGTGCTTAAATGTCTCTGATTGTCCCTGAACCTTCCTGCCACACCAGGGTGGCGTGCCACAGTCTTTTGAGGGCCACTGCCCTAGTCCGGTACTCCAACCACTGAACCACAATGCCTCCCTAGGGACAGGGGACAAAGAGGAATAGGTTTGGGGGGATTCAGCATGGAAGGAGACGTGAAAAGAAGATCAGGCCAAAGGCCCATTTAGTTTGGCACCCTGTTCTCCCAGTGAGCAACCTCGTGGGAAACCTGCAAGCGAGAGTAACTCTCCCCTCTCCTGCAGTTTCTAGCGACTGCCACTCAGGCGTGTGGCTTCAGTTTATTTTGCTCCTTGAGACTTTAGCTTCAGGAGACAGGAAGGAACTTCAGTTTACCCACAGGAGAACCACAGGAGGGGGAGAGTTGCTCCTGTGCTCAGGCCCTGAAGTGGATGGTGTAATAATACAATATAATAATAATAATTTATTATTTATACCCCGCCCATCTGGCTGAGTTTCCCCAGCCACTCTGGGCGGCTCCCAATCGAGTGTTAAAAACAATACATCATTAAATATTAAAAACTTCCCTAAACAGGGCTGCCTTCAGATGTCTTTTAAAAATAGGATAGCTGCTTATTTCCTTGACATCTGGTGGGAGGGCGTTCCACAGGGTGGGTGCCACTACCGAGAAGGCCCTCTGCCTGGTTCCCTGTAACCTCACTTCTCGCAATGAGGGAACCACCAGAAGGCCCTCGGAGCTGGATCTTGGAGCTGTCCAGGCTGAACAATGGGGGTGGAGATGCTCCTTCAGGTACATAGGACCAAGACCGTTTATAACAGATTGACCATTAGCCTGATCTAGCATGCGCTTCTTATGCTCAGAAAAGGACGGTGCCCATTAACCCAGAGAGAGCGATAAATATGAATAAGGACATAGGAAGAGGCCATTGAACGGCCTAGGCCAGCATCCTTTTCCCCACAGTGTCCAACCCCTGAAAAGGACTCTGAACCCTGGAAGAAATAAAATGCTTTCGCAGAGATTTCTGCATTGTAGGGGGATTGGGCTAGATGACACCTGGGGTCCCTTCCAAGTCTGCAATTCTATGAAAACAAACTCCCCCCACAATGTACCACTGTAGCCGATTTGAAAGAGGACTTTGCGTGTGTGTGCCATAGCTGTCAACTTTTCCCTTTTCTTGCGAGGAATCCTGTTCGGAATAAGGGAATTTCCCTTAAAATAAAGAGAACATTGACAGCTATGGTGTGTGCTCTCCGTTCTGATTTTTGGAGCACAAGAAGGGCACTGCTGGATCAGGCCAAGATCCCCTCTGGTCCAGCATCCTGTTCTCACAGTTAGCTGCCCAAATACCCCAATAATAAGATCATTAAGTTTGCAGATGATAGAACAGTGGTTGGTTTAATCACAGCTGGAGAGGGGGAGGCGGCCTATAGGAAGGAAGTTGAGCAGTTGGGGGAGCGGTGCAAGAAAAACAACTTACTCCTTAACTTAAAGAAAACAAGAAAGATTATTGTGGACTTTAGGAAATGTAAATTGAATATTCAGCCACTTATTATTGAGGGGAAGTGTGTGGAACAAGTCTCGGTGTTTTGATTTCTGGGAATGGAGTTGAGAGATGGCCTAACCTGGGGAGAAAATAGCAAAAACCTGATGAAGAGAGCACAGCAGAGGTTATATTTTCTGAGAATCCTCTGGAAAAATAATCTCTCAAAGGACCTGTTGATGGCATTTTACCATTGTACTACGGAGAGTGCATTAACTTATGGTGTGTGTGTGGTTTGGGAGCTGCACGGTCAGGGAAAAAACAAAGCTGTCCAGGGTAAAGACTGTGGAGAGAATAATTGGGTGCACTCTTCCCACCTTGGATCAAATCTACGCTTCCAGGTGCCATAAGAAAGCTGCAGAGATAGCGCAGGATAGTGCGCACCCCGGAAATGATCTCTTTCAGCTTCTGCCTTCTGGAAGAAGGTCCAGGGTTATAAAGACTAGGACTAGCCGCATGAGAAACAGTTTCTACCCTAATGTGATTTTGGTTTTAAACACATTGTAAGGAGTCTGTAGAGGGACACGGGTGGCGCTGTGGGTTAAACCACAGAGCCTAAGACTTGACTGGTCGGCGGTTCGAATCCCCGTGGCGGGGTGAGCTCCCGTTGCTCGGTCCTTGCTCCTGCCAACCTAGCAGTTCGAAAGCACGTCAAAGTGCAAGTAGATAAATAGGTACCGCTCTGGCGGGAAGGTAAACGGCGTTTCCATGCTCTGCTCTGGTTCGCCAGAAGTGGCTTAGTCATTCTGGCCACATGACCCAGAAGCTGTACACCGGCTCCCTTGGCCAATAAAGCGAGATGAGCGGCGCAACCCCAGAGTCAGCCACGACTGGACCTAATGGTCAGGGGTCCCTTTACCTTACCTAAGGAGTCTGTATGGGAGTATATTGTATTTAATTATGGGGTATCAGAGTTTTTAGGGGGCTAACCAGGCTGGGATAGCTGGGATAGCAGGCTTGTTTGTTTTGAATATCTTATGCACATGTAGATTTTTTTTTCAATTTCGTTGTTCTGTATGGGACAATGGCAATAAAGATGATCATATCATATCTCAGCTGCCCCAAGGAAACGCGCCAGCAGGATCCCAGCGCAAGAGCGACTCTCCGTTCCCACTCTGGTTTCCAGCAACTGGGATTCAGAAGAATTGCTGGCTGCCTCCAGTTGTGGGGCCAGAGCAACGTGGTGGCTCGCAGATATTTATCCTGGCTAGCAGCCTTTGACAGCCTTAACTTCCATGAATTCTTGGGCTGCATAACCCTTTTTGGGTCCTTTCCAACTCTAAAATTCAACGATCCAGCTCTATGGACTGGTCCCATCCTCTTTCAAAGACACACACGCAGCCAGGCCTGACTTGCAGGGGTGTCTCACAATGCAAAACAATGCAAGCCCCACATGGGAGATAGGAGCCCCCCCACCCACACCCAAATCACCCCATTGACATTTTTGGGCACCTTGAATTCTGGCCTCCTTCCTGCAGCTCCTCCTCTCCGAGCAAAACTCCGGCGGCGGCTGGTTTTGCAAAGGGCATTCTCACGATGGAGCATAGAGATAAGCCTCAAAAGCAGGAACGAAAAAACACACACACAACACCACACCTCCCACATACGCACAGGGCAAACACTTCCGGTTCTCATTCCTCTAAAAGGAGCTTGGGGGAAGAAGAGAGAAAGGTGGCTCTGAGACTTCCTCCTTCGCAGCTCTATGGCCTCGTTCGAAAGGGAACCTGAAGTGTCAGTTGCGGGCGTTTTAGAGGGGTGCACAATGATGAGAGTTTTGAAAGAGCTTTGCAGGGACATCTCACGGAGAAACTGGATAGAGATTTCTGTCTTACATGTTAGAAGCATGGGCGAAGCCAGGATTTATGTTGGGGGTGGGGGGTGGGGAAGGACACCCACCTGCCACCTTTTTCTGCCTGCCTCTGTCCATAGCTGTCAATTTCCCCCTTTTCTTGCGAGGAATCTCTACAACAAGCATTTCTATCTCTCTTTTCACTGCACACATTTTAAAACACAATACACCAGCGTATAAACACCTTGTCTGGTGTGGTTGAGGGGCAAGGGACATGGTAGACAGCGACTCTGGGTGGAGGCTCTGTGTCCAGGTTTACCAGTACAGGCTAGGCTGCCAGTATCGGAGATGGGAGTTGTGCGAGCAAAGTCAATGTAGTGTGAGATAATAGAATCCTAGAGTTGGAAGAGACCACAAGGGCCATCGAGTCCAACCCCCTGCCAAGCAGGAAACACCATCAGAGCACTCCTGACATATGGTTGTCAAGCCTCTGCTTAAAGACCTCCAAAGTAGGAGACTCCACCACACTCCTTGGCAGCAAATTCCACTGTCAAAACAGCTCTTACTGTCAGGAAGTTCTTCCTAATGTTTAGGTGGAATCTTCTTTCTTGTAGTTTGGATCCATTGCTCCATGTCCGCTTCTCTGGAGCAGCAGAAAACAACCTTTCTCCCTCCTCTATGTGACATCCTTTTATATATTTGAACATGGCTATCATATCACCCCTTAACCTCCTCTTCTCCAGGCTAAACATGCCCAGCTCCCTTAACCGTTCCTCATAAGGCATCGTTTCCAGGCCTTTGATCATTTTGGTTGCCCTCCTCTGGACACGCTCCAGTTTGTCAGTGTCCTTCTTGAACTGTGGTGCCCAGAACTGGACACAGTACTCCAGGTGAGGTCTGACCAGAGCAGAATACAGTGGCACTATTACTTCCCTTGATCTAGATGCTATACTCCTATTGATGCAGCCCAGAATTGCATTGGCTTTTTTAGCTGCCGCTAAAAAAACCTCCTCTTCACAAATTGATGTTCTGAGACATTTTTTGTATATTTCCCCCAATGCTTATTTTATTATTATTCATAATGAAAGCAGGAATTTATATACCACTCAGTGCCAAAATAGGCTTGGCACTTTGATAGAAACTAGTTACACAAACTAGTTACACAAATATTATTAATATTATTAGTACTATAAATCACTTGGGGCCCCAAAGGGTGCTTGGCTAAGTGGCTGGAATCATCTCAGGCATGAGACTGTGTGGGAAGGAAGGGAAACATGTTGTGGTTCAGAAGAGACTACAGAAGTCTCCACCAGGAGCTTCTCTCTTCCACGTGCTTCTATTATTCCATGGTTAGAGGCTTCCTCTGCCAAGGACATTGTGTGAGTTTGATTGCAGCTGCCTTCCCATCTTCTAAAATTTATGTACTGATTTACTCAGAAGAAAGGGGACACTTTTTGTTATGTACTGAAGTTCTCACCCTGGGCCGGCTGGGGGATACTGTAGATAGTTCAGGTCCACATAGGCAAACAAGGGATCGAAAGTGATGTTCAGTGATTGGATAGTTACAGAAAGTTGTTACAGTTACATTGTACTGGAGCTCTATATAAGCAGGCTGGCTGAACCCTTCAGTTCAGTTCTGTTCTGACCTGTGAATAAACAAGAGCTGTTTGGAGAATCGCTGTGTCGTCTGATACGTTCACCCACAGCTTAACACTTTTAACTGGACATTGGTTAGCTCAAATTAACAGGTTCTTTAGAAGTCTGCATCACCACATCTTTCAGAGTGACAGGGGCCACTGTCTTACACAATGAGGTGCTATAACCATGCTCTGGAACCAACCAGTAAAACCTGTCTGCTTGATCAAATAAGTCAAGAGAGATGGGGTTCAAGAGGACATGTGGTTAGGCTGCTCTTATTTCTTCTCTACTCCTCCCCCTTTTAAAACCTTTTTCTTCACAGATTCTCTGCACTTCCCCATTTCAGGGTCTCCTAACAGGGGATTAAGCTCTCAATCGTACAAGATGTAGAGACAATAAATACAACCCAAGTGGTTAAGAAAGCCCAGCAGAGACTCCATCTCCTCAGAGTATTGCGGAAGAACGATGTCAATCAACATTTGATGATCTCCTTCTACTGGTCCACAATAGAAAGTGCCCTTTCATATTGCATCACGGTGTGGTACACTAGTTTGACATCAACTGATAGGAAGTGCCTACAGAGGGTGGTGAACACAGCACAATATATTATGGGCTGTCCTGTGAATCTGCTGGATGAAATAGCGGAAGAACATTGCCTCAGGAGTGTGAGGAAAATTCTCAGGGATGATTCACACCCTGGCCAGCACTTTCTTGATCTCCTGCCCTCGGGCAGAAGATATAGAAGCATTATTAGTCGCACCAACAGGGTAAAGAACAGCTTCTATCCATGGGCTGTTAGGCTGCTGAATGAAAAGATAACAACAGGGCAACTGACTTTCGGGTTTGGTGGGTGTGTGTCAGTAAATGAGGGGAAATAAGACTAAGAGAGCTGAGTGGGGGGTGCTCGTGTAATCTCACTGTATACAAATTGCACAAGTGACAGTTTCAAACACAGATGCTGACAGCTTTGCATCACCAGGAACACATTGCCCAGTATGATCTAGCATGTCCATTTTCTTCCTAAATTGTAGCATGCTGCCCTAGAGGTTTGATCTTAACAACAACTATGCAGCTTGGGCACTACACAATGTCTTGTCCTCCACCATCTTCTTATGCTTCTAATAGCCACTTCTGATGGTTCACCTTCAAATATCTTAAGGGCTGCCACATGGAAGATGGAGCAAGCTTGTTTTCTCCTGCTCTCGATGGATTCAAGTTGCAAGAAAGGAGATTTGGACTAAACATTAAAAGCAGGGTGGGAGACTATATTAAAACATTCCATCTACTCATCCCACATGTATGGATGCAGAGGTGGTGAGGAGCAGAATCCTCTGACATAATCTGAAGTTTGATGCTGTACTTGCTGAACAACACATCTGAAAAACAGTTTCAAGAAGAATCAGTTTTCTAATTTAGTTTTTGTGGATAAATATGCCTTTGTATTTAGATCTGGCCTCAATATAATAATGTAGCACTTGGACATGAAGATGCAGCCCAGAAGCCCAGCACTGGAGGCCAGCATAGAGAAGACTTGCACAGCTACCATATATTTTCCCTTGGTGCTTAGGTAGGTGGGCACAAAGGACACCCAAACACTGCAGAAGACCAGCATGCTGAAGGTGATCAGCTTGGCTTCATTGAAGGCTGCCGGCAGATTCCTTGCTAAGAAAGCCACCGTGAAGCAGATGGCAGCCAGGAAGCCCATGTAACCAAGAGCACCATAAAACATGGCAACAGACCCTTCATTGCATTGTAGGATGATCTCTTTAACCTGGGAGCTTGTGTCAAAGTCCTGGAATGGAGGAGAGATCCCCAGCCAGATGCTGCAGACGACCACTTGGACACTGGAACAGAAAATGACAATGGTGTTTGCCAGACTCTTCCCCAGCCATCTCCTCACCTTGTTCCCTGGCTTTGTGGCCAGGAAGGCCAGAACCACAGTGATGGTTTTTGCCAAGACAGAAGAGACAGCAACTGAGAAAATGATGCTGAAGGCAGTTTGGCGCAGAAGGCAGGTCACTTTCCTTGGCCTTCCAATGAACAGGAAGGAGGATAAAAAGCAAAGCAGGAGGGAGACAAGGAGGATGCAGGAGAGGTCCCAGTTGTTGGCTTTGACTATGGGAGTGTCTTTATAGTCAACAAAGATTCCCAGCACTAAACCTGTGGTTAAAGTTAAGAAGAAGGCAAAGGAAGCTAGGAGGATTCCCAGTTGTTCTCCATAAGCCAAGAAGGTGACAATCTTGGGTACACATTGATCTTGGTCCTGGTTTGGATGATGATCTTCAGCACACCTTGAGCAATGCTCTGCATCTGCAAAGACAATACAAATATGGGTTTTTATTTGCAAAAGATGGTCTCTCCTATTTGTTTATGTCTTTGTTCACATCCATTGGGGGTAAACTTGAACTGTCCTACTGTTTAAAAACTCTATTCCATGAAAATCATTGCACATGACCAAGGAGGTTGGGATTGGAGAACAGCCTTTACCAAAGGTGTCATGTGCTTTGAAGACCCTTGCAGGACGCAAGGGAGAATCGTGCTAAGAGGAAGGCACGCTTGGCAAATCCACACCGTGATCAACTCCCACCTGGAAACCTATGTCCCCACTGTGGAAGGACATGTGGATCCAGAATTGGCCTCCACAGTCACTTACGGACTCATTGTTAAAACAGTGTTCATGGAAGGCAATCTTACTCAGCTACGAGTGATCGCCAAATAAAAAGACCACGATGAAGAAGGGCCTCCTTCAAGGTAGTAAAAAACCATGTCACATGGTTTGGGGGGGGGGGAAATGAACCGGCCAAAGGTCCTCTAGTCATTCCTGTTCCCGGGGTGACAGGTATTCATTTATTAATTGTCCATACAACTTTTTAAGCAATATTGGTACCCCTTATCCTGACAACAGTTTTACAGGTGAAACTCGAAAAATTAGAATATCGTGGAAAAGTTCATTTATTTCAGTAATTCAACTTAAAAGGTTTGTTATAATTATGATGATTATGGTGTACAGCTAATGAAAACCCCAAATTAACAATCTCAGAAACTTATAATATTGTGAAAAGGTGCAGTAGCTATTCAATCCATAACACCTGCAATCGGTTCCTGAGCCTTTAAATGGTCTCTCAGTCTGGTTCAGTAGGAAGCACAATCATGGGGAAGACTCCTGACCTCACAGTTGTGCAGAAAGCCATCATTGAGACCCTCCATAAGGAGGGAAATCCTCAAAAGGTAATTGCAGAAGAAGTTGGATGTTCCCAAGGTGCTGTATCGAAGCACATTAATGGAAAGTTATGCGGAAGGGGAAAGTGTGGAAGAAAAAGGTGCACAAGCAGCAGGGACGACCACTTAAAGGCTCAGGAACCCATTGCAGGTGTTATGGATTGAATAGCTACTGCACTTTTTCACAATATTCTAATTTACTGAGATTGTTAATTTGGGGTTTTCATCAGCTGTACGCCATAATCATCACAATTATAACAAATAAAGGCTTGACATATCTCGCTTTGCATGTCATGAGTCTATCTCATATATTAGTTTCACCTTTTAAGTTGAGTTACTGAAATAAATGAACTTCTCCATGATGTTCTAATTTTTTGAGTTTCACCTGTAAATTTGGAACAGTTATGAAATAATGAATCTTAGGGCAGAACTCAGGCATCCTGGGTTGCAGATCACTGCTTTATATCTCATAGACAGGGCTTTTTTCAACCGGAACTCAGTTCCTGCACCTCTCAGGTGCGCAACATTGCTATCCTAAGAGAATGATGGAGATGTTCACGGTGAGCTCTGTCACTTCTTTTTCTAGAAAAATAGCACTGCTCACAGACTTCACACCTACTCTCCACAAAATATTCAACCACGTTTCTAATATTAAAGAAATGATTCTACAACATGGAGACCCCTTTCCTGAGAATATTGCTACATGTTGGAGTTCATCCCACCTTCGTGAGTGGAGATGGTCCCTTCCGCACAGGGAAGACAGTCATAGCAGCAGAGTGGCTTTGCTTCCTGAACCACCTTGGCAGATCCAGGGCTGCAGCTTGCCGTGCACCTGGAAGGAGGCAGGGTCTAAGCATAAAGACAAGGGGGGGCCAAGGAAAATAGGTTAGGCTTATTTTGTCATGGAAATGAGGCCACAAAACAACAACAACAACAATTTATTTATACCCCGCCCATCTGGCTGGGTTTCCCCAGCCACTCTGGGCGGCTTCCAACAAAGATGAAAGATACACTAAAATGTCACATATTAAAAACTTCCCTGAACAGGGCTGCCTTAAGATGTCTTCTGAATGTCAGGTAGTTGTTTATCACTTTGACATCTGATGGGAGGGCGTTCCACATGGCGGGTGCCACTACTGAGAAGGCCCTCTGCCTGGTTCCCTGTAACTTGGCTTCTCGTAGCGAGGGAACCGCCAGAAGGCCCTCAGCGCTGGACCTCAGTGTCCGGGCAGAACGATGGGGGTGGAGACGCTCCTTTAGGTATAGGCCTTATTTTGGCATGGAAATGAGGCACAAGGTATTGGCACAAAAAATGGAAGCAAGAGGAATTACCGACGAAAAAAGAAGGGCAGATGAAATTGATGGACTATGCAGAATTAGATAAATTAACAGGAAGGATTCGAAACCTGCAGAACCAGAGATTCTTAGAAGACTGGAGTAAATATATGAACTATTTGAAAAGCAATTGTAATGAAGAGAATACGCTAGTAGGACTGCAAGAAGTTTTGTAAGGAGGACTATTTGAAATATTGCAAGAAAGAGTAATAGAGAAATTAAGCAATTAAGTGATAAAGAATGAAAAATCATCAGAGGTGTTGACGGAAGTCTAAAACATTGTATAAGATAAGAAGTTATGTTATATGTTTGTTGGAAATATGTTTTAAAAAACCAATAAAAATGTGTGTGTGTGTGTGTGTGTGGCAATGAGGTACAAGGTTGGGGAGGGCCACAATATTAATCAATTCTTCTAGCTATTCTAGCCTTATGTTTAGTTAAAAGCATCAATTAAAGTTGTGGCGCTCCGCACCACATAGCTGCTAGCTGCCCAAGTGAATTCAGTGACATTCAGTGGCTATTTCCAGCTCCTGCAGGTCCACTAGCTGTGATAGTTCCTAAGGCAGGGTTAGTCTGGACGCAGTTTTCTATGCTCTGATAACCTCCTGGCTGTACTATTGTTGAGCTACCCTTCAAGACAATCCAGAGGCTGCAGCAGGTGCAAACTGTAGCTACCAGGTTGTTCATTGTGGGGAAAGTCAAATGGAACGACATTTCACCAATTCTCTGAGAATTTTTGGTATTGGAAAAAAAGAGTGACTGTGAAAAGAAATTTGTACTAAACTGGCAATCAGGACATTAATTTTTTTTAATGTCAGTCTGATGCAGAATTGTGGGGAACTGAACTCAAGACTGGAATAATGAAAATCTGAAATATATGGAAATTGAGAGAGTCACTGAAATTTGCATAGTACCAAACCTCCAGTAACTACACAGGCTCCATGTTTGCTACTGAAGACAATTTATCAAATGGGAACATATGATAAATGGATCAGAACCTAAGTTCTCAGAAGACTTCAAGGTAAACACTGAGAGCCATAGGATATGATCCAATTACAGACTCATTGATTAGTGTAGAATATTTCCCAGGAATGTGAAACAGAGCCTTCACTGTTGCAGCACTGTAGATAAGGGAATTCATATGCCTATTTTCTCTGTAGTCTGCCCTGGGCATTTAATGAATGAAGGGAATAATAATGGCATAATAACTTATTATTAATAAATTATTATTAATAAGCGTTTCCAGTTTAATTAGGGCAGGGGTTGGAGGAAAAGTGGGCCACTTCATCTGGTTACTAAAATAAGCAACCTCCTTACACCACAAACATCTGAATGCTACATGTACAATTTAATAGGGACCTACTACTAAATGGGGACATGGGTGGCGCTGTGGGTTAAACCACAGAGCCTAGGACCTGCCAATCAGAAGGTCGGCGGTTTGAATCCCTGCGGCAAGGTGAGCTCCCGTTGCTCGGTCCCTGCTCCTGCCAACCTAGCAGTTCGAAAGCAAGTCAAAGTGCAAGTAGATAAAGAGGTACCGCTCCGGCGGGAAGGCAAACGGCATTTCCGTGCGCTGCCCTGGTTCGCCAGAAGCGGCTCAGTCATGCTGGCCACACGACCCGGAAGCTGTACGCCGGCTCTCTCGGCCAATAAAGCGAGATGAGCGCCGCAACCCCAGAGTCAGTCACAACTGGACCTAATGGTCAGGGGTCCCTTTACCTTTACCTTTACTACTAAATGAAAAGAAATCCTGGATGCTGATGTTGAAAATATGAATCCCTATGACTCACATGTGTGGAGTAAATAACATGTGTGTGGTGGGGGGGATAAACTCACTCTCTAGTAGCCCCCAGTTGCAGAGTTTAAACTCACAATGTGAAACAGCATAGTGAAGTGTTAGGAATGTAGGCTGCTAATACTGTTAAGTAAGTTTAAAAAGCTTTACTTACGAAACATTCCAAAGGTCAGATTCATGCATTTATCCAAGCAGCAGCAAGGAGAACAAAGGCAAAATACTCAAGTAGAAAGTACAGTATATCATTCCAAACTTGTGTGCTAAGCTTGGAGCTTGCTTAGGCACATCCTCCTTGGTCATTTACATGACATGGAGAGAGCAACATGGCAAGAAGAGAAGGCTTCACTTCCTCTTTCAGTGGAAAAGAGGGGGCTCGAGTTAGCTATGCTCTGGTTGTAATATTGTTGAGCTATCCTACAATACAATACAGAACAGAACAGAACAGGGGTTGTCTTAAACCTTTCATGAACTAATTAGCACTCAATCAAAGTTATGTTTGACCGCAATCTCCCACAGATGTTGACAGGCATGTGGAGGTAGACCATAGTTAGAGCTGTTGAGGTGGGAAATACCATAGAAAAATAGATGAATTCTCTCACCTGTTTGAGCCCTTTGGGCCAAGCACCGGCATCCTGGTTGGTGGAGAACTGTAGATCTCGGGATCCCTGTCTGTTGATACTCCCCAACTT